AAAAAATAATGCTTCACTTACCATCTTTGTACATTACCTCAATGTACTATTAGATTTGTGGGTTCCATGGATTTTATTAAATTTTCAATGACTAAGATCATGTCACATTAGATCGTTCAAGTCCAATGATCCAAACGGTGAAGTTTATATCATTATTGAAAAAAAAAAATAAAGGTCAAAAATGGAAACTCAGACTTAAGCTTAGCTTTACTTAAATGTTGCCAACAGGCTTTCATTTTTACAGGAGAATTTTGTTTGAATTTTGAAAATTTTAAATTATATATTTTAAATCATCTAAATATGTTTCTCACTTTTTCTTTCTAATCAAACATAATGTTTTATCAATTTTATATTTTTATATTTCTCAATTTTTTCGTCCTTTTGCTTTCTTATCATACCAAATATCCCATAAAGTCTGCTCAAGATTTCACATGAAGTACTCTGAGAATTCCTTTTCCCTTTTCTTACCCACAAAAAATATACACATTTCTTTTTCTTTAAAATAAGTAGAACTAGAATACTTTACACTCATTCCCCCCTCCCCCCTAACACACACACACACACACACACAAACATATACATACATCTATGATTTTATACAATTTGAAAGGGGGCATGTCATTAATATATGTAACCTATGCATAAAACTTCCATTCATCAACTCTCAACTTCCCCTAATTCAAGTGCATGCAAAGCATTCATATGAATTGGCTTTTTAAGAGAGAGAGAGAGAGTCTGAGAGACTTTATTTCTTTGCTAGCTCTCATACAGCAGAAGAGCATTCAAACGCCATTGCCGGATCCATTTCTTGTACCAACCAAACCCATCAAGAACCTTCATTTATAGACGTGTGTGTGTGTATATATATATATATATATAATGTGTGTGTGAAGCCCGTCAATCGCGTTGGGCGTGACGGGTTCGTGTCGAATCTTATTGGATTCGTGTTAAAAAATATTTTATTCATATCCGATTCATTTATTAATTCGCGTCTAACGAATTGTATCATATAGAGTTCGTGTCCTATATAGACTGTGTATAACTGGTATATAAACTTAAATCTTCTAAGTTAGTATCATGTTGGTACCATATTTTGACGCCTAGTGTGTGTGTGTGTGTGTGTGTTTTAAAAACATTGAAGTGTCCTCTGCAATGGGTCAATGGTTGTGTACTGTTTATAATTATCTCTGCGGGCTCTTAAATGGTGATTTAAAAGCAACACCATGTATGAATAAATATTGTTGCATTGCATTTTTCCATGAGATCCTTTAATGCCCATTAAAAACTATAATCACCTAAATAATTATCATAAAGATATGCCAGATTCCCCAGATCCGTTATCACGTGACAGATGATTCTGTCACGTGCCTCACTCCCTCCTGTATTTATTTATACACTAAATATAGTGACTTGATTCAGTTAATTGTTTATCAACTAGTATTACTTTTTTAGCTTGAGGGGCAAATTTGCCATTCCACATGTCTCAGACATGGGCCTTGGCTTTGAGCCTCAGCCCACTGGTCCATCAGTATCAAAACTCTGGGGCGAGTTCTTAGTCATTAAAAGTGGTTGCTTTTTTATTTTTTTGGTCCGACCCCTATTACTAATGAGAAAACGACGAGACTTGAACCTATGACTTTTATGTCTAATAACAAAGACGGTACTCGTTCGGCCAACTACTAAACCTTAATTAGGTTGCTTCATTGACTCAATTAAGGATGATGCCTATAAGCAAGTAAAATCAATAAGAATAGAGGTTTGTTTGTTTGGTCTAAATGAATAATGGATTAGATGATTTTTTTTATTCAACGGTTCAGTTTACGCGTACCTCGATTAATCCCCTTCTTAATCCGATTAAAAGCAGACCGTCTACGTTGAGACTAGAGTATTAATGAGGGATAAATTTTTAGTGATTTGATCTCAAGAAATTGCTAAGATTCAAAGTCAAGAAATCTGAATTTACAAGTTATCTATATTATCAATTGAGCCACTTTTGAAATTAATTAGACAGCTTTTCAAATTGCAAGTACACAAGAATGAAAAGTTAGAGGTGACATTAATTATCCCAATTAGTGTGACAAAGAGCGATGGCAACCTTGAACTAAATCTTCTAGAATTATTTATGACAATTTGGTTACAAAAAGACAAGTTTAATCTAGATTAGATTAGGACAATGAGCACAAGCCTTGTTTTTCTCGAGACTTGAAAAGACTGTTCACCACATAACTTTCTCACGGCCTCTTGACTAAGATTGCCAACCACTACCCTAATTGCGTTTCATATTATTAGTAATAGTTATTGTAGGGACCATGGTATCACGAGGGGGTAACAATTTTTGTGGTCCAGTTCACGGTTCAAGATTGGGAATTTCAATTGTCCAGTTCGCGGTTTTAGTCCAAAATCGGATGGTCCAGCGATTTTCAAACGGTTTGCTTTTTTATGCAGTCTAACTACCGAATTGGACCATTTTAGGTCCCGGTTCACGGTTCAACCTGTCCAGCTAGTCCGTTCTGGTTCTGATAACACTGATTTTAGCAATCACCTAATTATTTTTCCTACTTGATGTTTCCTTAAAAAACATGATTTGGAAGAAAATATATGATTCAAAAAACTTGGGTTGGATATATCTTTTATAAGCTAATGTGCCACAAAGATTGAATCTATACTATAAAATATGACAGACTTAAATAAATTTATTCAACGGTTTCAAATAGACTCATCCAACGGTCACAAACATTCCTTTCAAAATCATTTATATTGTACCGTATCTTCAGACACAAGTTATCCCTAATGAGCTTAAATTTAGAGATAACAACTTCTGACATGACACGTAAACACGATACGAAATTAACATGTTAGAGTTAACCATTTCTTGATACTAATTTATAAATAACACGATCATTTTTAACACTATAAGTCAAGTTAATGTCAAACACAGATAACACAAAATTGATCCGATTAATACGTTAAACAAATATTATAAGAATAAAATGCCTAACTTTTTATCTTTTTTCAAGCACCAACATAATCCTAGTACAAAAAAAAAAAAAAAAAAATTTGCTTATTTTGTTATTATATTTATTAAGTTAATTTTTACTTTATAAAAAAAAATGAGTTTTAGTTAAATTTGGAGATAATGTAATATTAGACTTAAACCTTAATGTTGAAATTTTAATTTACGAATTATATAAGTTAACACGAACACGACACTATTAATTAAATAAGTTACGTTCGATTTGATTAGTGCTCGGCAAAAAACCAAACTATAAATGACACAACACAAACACAATCAACGAAACACAATTCCATTTTTTTCCCTTCTCTTGCTGCAGGATTGTGACTCTGCAATATGTTTTACACGTAGCGTGACCCCGTAATGTTTGTTCTTTGCTAAGTGTTTTAGATTGTAATTTCAGAGTTAAAATGATGGTCCTATAATATTTTCCTGCATTGCATGTACATGAATATCTTGGCAATTTGCATGTATTCCAGATCCTAAAACAGAAGTTCCAAGCGAAATCGAAGGTCAGTGGATCACAATGAAACTGGGAACAGATATCAAGATCCTCGGATGGATACAGAAGACAGACAAGGCCAAGAAAAGAGAACAATCACTACACGAGATGAATCTTGGTTTAGTGAATTGAAGTTGGCCTTAAGTGTGTCATGGTCTACAACGACGACAACATCCAGTTTATAGCAAGACCTGGGAGAAGCATCCTCAGAATTTAGTTCTCTGAACTTATTTCAACAAACTATTCGCAATGTCAGGAATCCATGAACAATCTCTTAGGATACAACAAAACACCAGAACACCATACACACCCTGATTCTTCTGATTTCAAGAACTATTCCCATAATGCAAAGAGAAACTACACCTCTATAAATAGAACTTGTGCTAACACATGGCTGGATCCTAGGATTCAAGAGCCCAAAATTCTAACATTTCTAAATCACAAAACATGCAAGGGAGTTGAGATAATCTACAAAAGTCAATTACCATGCATAACCTCTTACGATGTATACACAAATTTCCAACAGAGAAGGGACAGAAAAATCTCCCCTACATTGAAACCAGAAATGCTAATCAATGATCTAATTACTATCACAAATGAACTAATTCCAATCATAGGTATAACTATTATCTCATTCTTTATCAAAAGCTAGCAGTCATCCATAGCAATAATGTGAAACATAATTTCCCCACCAATTCTTGAACCAACAAACAATTATAGCCACTAAGAAAAACACCCAAATATTCCCAAAACTAGGCTATATAATCAATTCTTCGGCAAAAAGTGGAATAGAACAAAGCAGTGACACAAAAATTTAAGCAATACAGTTGAAACCAAAACTCATCTCAACTCAGTAATCTGAAACCAAATCTAATAATGCCCAGCAACAAAATAACAAGAAGCATAGATAATTCGTTTAGGTCAATGCATCCCACACTCATCAAATACACGCTGAACCTACCAATAGTTCATAAAATATATCTCTATTTCTGAATGCGTCCCGAATATCAGCATCAAAAACGAATATTCAACAGATATGAAAGTGAATAAGCAGTCTTTATGTTTTCTCTCAAATCCACATGTATTAAAACACCCAAAAAAAAAAAACTATATGGCTTTCAATACATGTGGGGTATCTTTAAGTATTCTATACATCACATGCCAAAATGATATAAAATGGAATAATTATACCTACCGCTTGGCAATAAAAAACTAATTAAATCTTAGTTTTGGTTCATTTAATGACCCACATTCCCATTGCTGGTATACCATGGTCAAAAACTCTTCCAATACACTAAATTTGAGCTACAACTTTCATTTCAAATGAGACCAAACACATAATTCAACTGTGGCCTCAAATTGGTTTCACTTGAATAGATCAGTTGTCTAATATTAGAAGTATGGTATTCCTGAAAGAAACTAATTAAAATTAATTTCATTCTTTTTTTTTTGCTTGGCTTGCTAAGTACGGCGCACTAGCTCTCTCTACTTTAACACTATGTTCCCTGCTGGCACGGAGTATCTTGAAAATCTATAAACATAGGGGTATCAGAGATGTCAAAATAATTTGACAAACAAACACATTGGTAGCATCACAATTAAAATACAACAATGCCCCCCTCCCCCTTTTCTCTTCTTAACTGAAGGTTAATATGGTCAAAGCTTACTTGTAGATATAAATTCGCATCATGATAAGATCAATAGAGTAACAAGACTTTTGTAGTGTGGAGTGGAGAAGTGGTCTTTGAAGTTCTTAAGTTTGCTTTTGGGTCAAGATTCCTTATCTTTATCTCTTTGGGATCCGATTGTGAAAGGAGTGGGGAAAAGATTAGATTGATGAAAATGAGCTTTCATTACCAAAAAGGGCAAACTAACTTTAGTGCAATCAATTTTAGCTAATATTCCCACAAACTTCTTGTCTTTACTTAAAATGCCAAGGAAGGTAGCCATAAAGATATAAAAGATGATGAGCAATTTTTTGTGGAAAGATTGCGGTGAGGGGAGGAAGCATCACTGGATTGGTTGAGAGGTGGACTCTAGATCAAGGGATAAAAGTGGTCTTCCAATTAGAAATCAGAAGGCAAGAAAGATTGCGCAAGTGAACAAATGGCTATGAAAATTTTGCTTAGAAAAATATTCTCTATGGCATTTGGTTATCAAGAACAAATAATGATTACATGCCAATAAGATGTAACGCTAATGGGTGTAAAGAGGATGTTTCCATAGCCCATGGAAATTTATATCCCTAGGATTGACGAGGTTTTTCCAAAGTTTTAAGTTTCTTGTGGGTAATGGATAGAGAATTTGTTTTGGGGAGGATACTTGGACATAGTAGTCATCTTTTTCATCTACGTTTCCATGTCTCTATCATTTATCTAGCTTCTATGGGTAGTCACTTGCTTCTATGGTTCTGTCTTTTATTCAACAATGCTCTTTGATTTTTTTTTTATAAGAAATGTTGTTTGGATTTTAGATTCTGTAAGAACTTAGATGCTAGAGATACTAGGGATTTGATGTCATTACATTCTATTTTTAATTGTTTTGTGTTGAATCAATAGTCATGCAACAAAAGATTGTGTGTTTTTGAGTCTACGTGTGTCTTGTTTAGTAAATCATTCTTTAATTCTTTGGTAGATGATTCTTCATATCTGGTCTTTCCACTGCTAGGGCTAAAGTGTCTATTAAGGTGCAATTATTTTGCATAAACTACTTACTACACATAGTAAGATTAATACTAATGATATGCTTCAAAAAAAAGCCTCAGACTTGTTTTTCACCACAATGATGTGTGATATGTAAATGTGCTTTTGAGAGCCTTGATCATTTATTTTACATTGTCCTATTGCCTTGTCGATGTGGAAATTTTTTTAGCTTGGCGGGTTTGAGCTGGGTGGTTCTTAAGTCTCCTATTTCTTTGGTTATTGAAGATTTGAAAGGCATTGAGAGGCTTAATAAAGGTGTTAGTCTTTGGAATTGTGCTCTTACTGCTATTTTCTGGATTATTTCGAAGAGGAAAAAATTTACAATTTGAGGATCATAGTGAGTAGATGGAAGAATTATGCGATTATATTATTTTTCAGCCTTATTTGAGGCTTTGGTTACCACTTTTTGTTATGTTAGTGAGAGATGGAGAGCTACTTGTAACTTATAGGTTTTTTATGTAATTTATTCTTTTGCTTTTTGTGTCTCTATGTTGGATTCCTTATCCAACTTGTTTATGTACTTTTGAAATTTTAATATAAACAATGTTTAGTTTCCTATTAAAAAAAAACTAATAATAGGCCATTAAGCAAAATACCAAAAATTTTCAACAAAGAATCGAATGTAAAAAATCCTCAAGCTATAGAACTTTTATTCTCAAACCATTGGAAGTGTACACAAAGTAAACATCAAAATTCTTCCCACATACTCAAGATTAAAGCATAAATGGCAGTGAATCTCCATTGCTTTCAATTAAACCAACAAGAATGCATTAACCACACTATCAAAAAAGTCCGAGCAAAAACTAAAAGTAAACAAACCCCATTAACATTTAAATATCCCAAACCATTAACATCCAAACTAATCTATAAAAACAATTCAACAAAATCAAAACCAAGCTATAAATCCTCAATTCTTAAGTCAACACGGAAAATACCCATAAACATCAACATCAAATCTGTTCCAACCCATTCGTAATGATGATAATAGCGTGTCCCCATACTTCTCATGCAACCCAACAAGAAACAATTCCCCAATACATCCAACGATAACAGAGGCTAATCATAACCCATCACAGATCAAACTATTGACTTTTGACAGCCACAAAAGAGTAACAGCAAATTGCATCCATATGATCTTAAAGATTAATTACAAGTTTGCTGGATGAATCTACATCCAATTTTTAATGGGTACTTGCATTTGCATCCGAAATCTCAGAACTCTTCCCACATACTTAAATTATAGCACAAAACAAAATCAAACCATGGAAAAAAGAGACCAAAAGCTATTTCCGCATCATTCAACTGACCATACAATGCCAATCCACAAACTATTGATTAAATATAAAAACTTATTACTCTAACCAAAACTCATGGTCCACATAAAGGCAGTCAACAAAATTGTTTCAACATACTCAAAATTAAACGTTAACAGTGACAACCATAACCTCCATATTTTTCCATCAAAAGAAACAATGACACATTAAAAATAACACCAAGATAGTCTCATTAAAACACATGAATATCTAAAACGCTTTTCAGTACCTGTTTCTAGCACCACCACCATACCCACCTCGGCCACCAAACGGCGGCACCGACTGCACCATCATCTGCTGCTCTTCTTTCAGCACAATGCCAGGGATATCACTCATACCCAGAGTACCCAAAAGCTCAATGGTCTCCTTGTCGACCTCAATCCTTTCAGTCTTGATGGCAGACTCATCGGGTACAAAGTCCATGCGCCTCTCTCTCTCCTCCTCTTGCAGCTTCAGAGAGATGCCTCGGACTGGGCCCTTCTGGATTCGCTTCATTAGGTGGGTGGAGAACCCAGCAATCTTGTTGCGGAGTCTCTTGGAAGGGATGATTGCCACCTCTTCGAGGATCTTCTTGTTGGTGTGGAAGTCCAAGGTCATCTTGGAGTAGTACCGCTCGATCACTTGGCGTGAAGACTTCTTCACTGTCTTTGTACGGACGCGACCCATAGTTGCCGAGGACGGAAGGGTGGGTGGGTGGATTGATCTGTGTGTGGCGGGTTGCTAGGGTTGGGAAAGGGGAGGTGGAGGTGTGAGGGAAGAGGAGCTAGGGTTTTGGAATGGGAGGAGTTATTTATATAGTGAAGTGGGCAGTGGAAAATGACTAAAATGGTGTTAGGTTGAAAGTTGGATTTTTTTTTTTTGTATTTTTATGATTAGAAAACTCATCAATCTGTTTTTTTTTTTTTTTTTTGTTTTCCCGCACAATTTCGCAAGAAGAAAACGACGAAGTTTGAACTTGCGGTCTCACATTTCAATAACAGGGATGATGACTATTAGATGAACTACTGATTCACTTATTTATACAAAGTAAATTTTATATAGTTGTATCTATCAACAAATCAAAATTATTAAGTAAACAATTAAGAATTACAGGCATGAGTCAAATTAAAAAATTTAAATTTGTATTATTGAAATTTATTTTTCACGATTGTCACTAAAAAAACATATTTGTATGACCCCAACTCTTTCCATTTGAATGTATTGTTCGAAACCCTTTAACATATGCCTCTCTTTTTACCTAATCTCATAAACTATTCATTTGTTCACATTCCACCTTAGACTATTGGTTTGAGTTTTACATTACCATAACCGTTAACTTTTACCAAAATTTTGGAGCAAATCGAGACAACAAATAGAATTTTGCTGCCCATCTAAGGAGGAAAAGACAACATTTTCTAATATGTGGAATTTAATTTTGTGTTCCAATTTACTGTAAAAAAAAAAAACATGGATAGAAGCCAACCATTGCGACAATGTAAAACTCAAATTAATAATTTAAAGTACAATGTAAAAAACAGATAGTTTATCGGGTAGTTTAGAACGAAGGGCATAATACAGGGAGTGTGAGTGTCATTTTGCATATAAAAAATAACCTGTAATACTTGTTATTCAAACTATTTGCCAGTCTGTAGTACTGTGATAGATTAATTAAGAATATATAAGAGCATCTCCGACGGACTATCTAAAAGAGGTTTCTTAGCTAATTTAGATAGCCAGTGCACAATTTTGGCTCCAAACAGGCTCGGTACCTCAGTCGGTATTATTTATAAGCCAATATTGGTTAGCTGGATCTAACGATTGAAATAGGCTAAGTATTTGTCAAATAGAAGCTCCAAAATCGCTAGATTTACACCAAAATCGTCATTGCACAAAATTCCACAGAAGCTCAGTCCACAAAGCTCCACATAAGTTCATTATCGCATATCGCACAAAGCTCCACAAAAGCTCAACCCAACAATCATACTCCTTTATTTGTTCAATTTTTAGAAAATACTCAGTCATATAGATACGGTTTTTATCATATAGGAGTATATCTTTGTTGGAAGAAACGGGTGGTATTGGAAGAGGCGATGGCATCTTCTTCATCATCAAGCTCTGTAAAACCCTTCCAAAAATTCAATAAAATTTTTTCAAAAATTCAGTAAAACCCACTAAAAATTCAACAAAATCCCTAAAAAATCAACAACAATCCCAAAAAATATAGTAAACTCCCCCCAAAAATCCAACAAAATCCCTCAAAAATCCAGTAACCCCCCCCCCCAAAAAATTCAACAAAACCTCCCAAAAATCTTGACTTTGGTTATTTGTGTAATTTGAAGTGATTTTGTTTTGAATTTTGTGATTTAATTTGAGAAAATTTGGTTTGAGAGTAGTAATTTTTGGGAGGTTTGGGAGGTGGGTTCTCTCTTGTAGCCTATAATTGATTAAATTTGTACAATGTATAAGTTGAAATGTTATTTTTTGAATTTTATTATTGAAAGTTAATTGAAGTAGTTAGTTAAAATAAATAACGTGGTTGAAGTGAATTTTAAAAAATAAATAGCTAAAATAGATAATATAATATTTAAATATATTTTAAATAGCTATTTTAGATAGCACGGTTGGAGATGCTCTAAAATGTTAAACTGTTCGTGCCAGAGTTTTTTTTGGTCATCCACTATTATAGGGAGAATGACAGTAAATTCAAACCCGTAACCTTAAGGTTCAACGATAATAGTGGTGACCGTTAAACTAAACAGTAACTTCAAACATGTTAAAAAGACAATCATCCATTACAAAACAAAGGAACAGGAATCAACACTGTGGGGGAAGAAGAAAAACAATACTGGTGCAGGGCAGACCCACTACACATGGCTGCAGCCACTACGAAATTTGGAGAGGTCAAATGTATGTAACATAGTCTTAAGTCGTATGCGGAAAGATTAAACAACAGTACTGGTTCAAGAGAACATGTTTTTAAGGGCATTTCCAATAGTTGGATTGGTTGTATGGTAACCCCCATCAACAACAAGATTCAGGCCAGTCACATACTTAGACTCATCGCTTCCGAGGTACACTGCCGCCTCCGCCACATCTTCAGTCCCCAACATCACTTCCTTCAAGTTGGCAGACTCGGAAACCACCTCCTGTGCCGCCTTCTCATCCATCATTCCAAGCAGGTTTCTCATCATTGGGGTGGGCACTAAAAATGGAGGGATACAATTGACTCTAATCCCATACTTCCCCAATTCCACACATAAGTTCTTGGTGAGTCCTACCACAGCATGCTTTGAGGCAGTATAGACATGAGGAACCTCAGCAGAACACACAGAAACAATGCTTGATGTGAATAGAATGCTGCCTCTCTTTGCAGGAATCATAACTCTGGCAGCATGTTTGGCACCCAAGAATCCACCAAACACATTAACATCGAACACCTTTCGAAAATCGTCCCGACCCAAGGACTGTATTCTTGGATCCATGTTACCCGAAATTCCTGCATTTTTGAACATTGTGTCAAGCTTACCATGCTTGGCAATAGCAGTGTCCACTGCTCGTTGGACATCCAATTCTCGGGTAACGTCGCAGTGGACAAAGGAAATTGATTCATCTGAGCCAATTTCTTTGCAGGTTATGGCCGAGGTCATCTTGGATGTCAGCAATGACAACCTTTGCACCGTGTCTGGCAAAAAGCCTTGCAGTGGTCTCACCAATGCCGCTAGCACCACCAGTAATCACAGCCACCTTGCCTTGCAGCCTGCAAAGTCAAATGGGTTGGATTCCAATTTCTAGCCTATTTTCACAGTTAAAATCAGAGTAAGCAAAAAGTTCTAAGAAGATGGATGAGATATTAGGAGCTTACCGTTTCACAATGGGTGTCAAGGAGGAAGAGCCTTTCGTCATTCTCAGTCTAATTGTTGTAGATGATTGTGAAGCTTTGATAAACTGTGTATTTAATAAGCCAACTTCGTTAAAGAATAAAGAATAGATGTAGTGTTAAATAAAGGAGGCAAAATTTGGGTGATTTTGTTGCGGCGGCAGCGGCCGTGGCTACAATTGTGATATTAACAAAGACTGGACAATTGAAGGCCAAGGAAAGGGAGAACATAACAAGTAGTACACTTTAGTCCACAAATTACACAAGTCGTGTGGCTATTTTCGAATTTGAGGTAAGTAAAATGTAAAAGAACGCGTAAAATAAAATTTGTCTTAATGAAATTGTTAACAGAAATTGGTTCTATTTATAAATATCGCTATCAAACCTTATTGTCAACCATGACAACGAAGATTCCTCTTGTCATTGATTCATGAATATAGCAACCTAACTCATTTGTTTTTCTGTCTTTATTCGTTCTACCAAATCCCCTTGTTTAGAGACATCTAAAGGCATAGTTTATAGAAGACTAAACAACCTAGAAAAGAGAAGATTAATAGGACAAATGTAGAGTGATACCAACGTGGGTGGAGATGAACACTACGAATATTCTATGGGAGCAAAAGAAACAAGACAACATTAACATAGGACAAACATAAACCTTATGCTGATAGCATGATGACTTTATAGCAAATTAAGAAAATTTGAAGCAGTGGAGAGAGACAGAAAACCTAGTTTCCATTTCCCTATTTATTAGAAACATTTATTACAAAATTTAACCCAAAAAAAAATTTCATATAGCGAACGGTTATATTTAGCGAGGTCTGAAAAATATTAGATCTACGTAGTCTCACCACTGTATATAAATAAACTATTTTTATGATTGGAACCTTTCACGCACTTGTCATAATAAAATAATATTCTCGTTGAACCGAGACCCACCCTCTATATTTTTCATGAATGTCACTAAAGAATCATGTTTGTATGACCAAAATATTTGTTTTATATAAATGCATTGCTCTAAATTATCATAATTGATTATTCCTTGTAATAATGTTTGTCGATGTATTTGTCCTACTTTTTTTTTATGGGGGGGAGAGAGAGAGGGGTAAATATGTATCTATACAATTAATAAATGGAAAGGGTTGAGTTCGATGTCCGACTAATGAAATATTGACCTAATTTACTGACATAAAATTTATCTATTCTAACTTCTTCCCACTTTCATATATTTTTCCTTTTGTGTATAAATTTTTGCACTCACTTCGACTGCATTACAAATATATTTAGATAAATTGTTGACATGGTAGGGTCATTTTGTAGTTATTTAAGCTATGAAAATTGTGATAATGAAATTACATAATAACGCTTTCAAAGTAAGCAAGCTCATTGGGGTCAACGGTATAAAATTAATCTCATTTTTTGTCAAGGGTTCTAATTAATCTTTTTTTTTGATTTATATGCGTTATGTACATCAGGGTTTTGCCCCTTTTTATTTAAATGAATATTCAAATATCAAATATAATACAATAAATTTCAATATGTTGGTTTATTTTTATTTATTTTAGAGAAAAAATTGAAGTTCTTAGATAGAGGATATGCCACATCGGAACCCTTTAAAAAATTACCAAAAACTGAAGAGCCAGAGGAACACATTACACATACAATGAGATCTGCATTGCTTTTCAACCAGTGCACAGCCATTAAATCCCAAAATAAGAACAGGAACAACAATCCAGTACAAAACACAGGAAAAGGAATCAACATTCTTGTGCATTGTGGGGGGTAAAAGCAAAAACAATATTGACGGTGCGCGAGACTAGTGGCCGTCGTCTGGACAGAGTCGCAGCTTTATTCGAAATATAAAGAGGTTGTTTCCGCCAAAAAAAAAAAAAAACAATACTATTTTAAGAGAAAATGGAACCAACAAGCGTGTCCCTTGTTGGGGAAGAAGATAACCATCACTGGTTCAAGAAAACATGTTTTTGAGGGCATTTCCAAAAGTTGGATTGGTTGTGGTGTAACCTCCATCAACAACAAGATTCAGGCCGCTCACATACTTAGACTCATCGCTTCCGAGGTACACTGCCGCCTCGGCCACATCTTCAGCCCCCAACGTCACTTCCTTCAAATTTGCCGATTCGGAAACGACCTCCTTTGCCTTCTGCTCATCCTTCATTCCAAGATGATTTATCATCAGAGGGGTAGGCACTGCAAATGGAGAGATGCAATTGACTCTGATTCCATATTGCCCCAATTCGACGCATAAGTTCTGGGTGAGTCCTACCACGGCATGCTTCGAAGCTTTGTAGGCATGAGGGGCAAGACCAGAAGACACAGAAGCCGTGCTAGAGGTGAATAAAATACTGCCTTTCTTTGCAGGAATCATAACTCTTGCAGCATGTTTGGCACCCAATAATGCACCAAACACATTAACATCAAAAACCTTATGGAAATCGTCAAGATCCAATGCCATGATTCTTGGATCCATGTTGCCTAAGATGCCAGCATTGTTGAACATTATATCAAGCTTACCATGCTCGGCAACAGCAGTGTCCACTGCATTCTGGACATCCAATTCTCGTGTAACGTCACAATGGACGAAGGATATTGATTCATCGGAACCAATTTCGTTGCAAAGGTTATGGCCAAGTTCATCTTGGATGTCGGCAATAATGACCTTTGCACCATGCCTGGCAAAAAGCCTTGCAGTGGTCTTACCAATGCCGCTAGCACCGCCAGTAATCACAGCCACCTTGCCTAGCAGCCTGCAAAATCAGTGAACTGAATATTTCAGTTTTTGGCCTATGTTTAATGTGAAGATCAAAGAAGGCGAAAGGAGCTTGTAGATGGATTAGAAATCAATAGGAGCTCACCGTTTCATCATGCTTAGCCAAATTGTTGCAAATGAATGAGAAACCTTGATAGACTGATCTGATTTTATAGCCAACTTGGCCAAGTAATAAAAACTAGAGTTTGGTCATGTATAATGGGAAATTTTCACTTTAGCCCTTGTCAAATCTGAGAAGATATACAAACTTTCTTAAGCAAAATCAAATCTTGATGTAAAAGGAGAAAATGAATGACAAAAAACACCCCCTCTTCTTCATCATCTTATTAAAAAGAAAAAATAAAATGACATCTGCACCTAGTCAACAAAACCCCCCACCACCCGGACCCCCCCACAGCTCACCCTGGCAGAAACACCACCATCCTCTACAACCACTAACTCATTACCATTAGTTCGAATAAAAAATCGAATAAAAATCTGAATTTGATGCGTTGATTAAAGTTTTTTAAAGAAATTGGGAGATACTTGCAGATGGTGAATTTTTGTAATTTTGTTGTGGTGGTGGCGACAACGACGATGTGGGGTTGAACGAATAAGAGAGAGAGAGAGAGAGAGAGAGAGATGAGGATATTAAGGCCATTTCTTTACTATTGTTAGAACTAGTAGTACACTTTAGTCTACAAACTAAACGCCCAATTTGGTTATTTTTGAATTCGAGGTAGTAAATGCAAAAGGACCGTCCATGTGCGTACGCATAAGGTGAAATTTGCCCTTAGTTAAATCGTTTACTTCTAAAATGCATGATGGTATCATAGGAACATGCATGATGGTATCATAGGTGTAGGGTGATGTCTCAAAGGCATAAGGTGAAATTTGCCCATAGTTAACCAAAGCTGGCAGCGTTGACCTCTAACGAACTTCTAGATTTAGTACAACTAAGATTCCTCTTGTTATGGTTTGATGGATCTCTCAACCTAATCCTATTGTTTTCTTTCTTTTATTTATTCCTCCAAAGCCCTTTGTTTAGAGATAACTACGTTATCAATTTCTACAAGACTGCACATGCACATGGTGTTATAGATCTCTCTATTATATATTCAGATATGCAACTTGTCACTCTTCGTTTGTCTGTCTCCATCTAGTGTAGTTACTTACTAGCACAAATTTGTCCTTACTCAGTGAAAAGGACCTGAGGGGTGCTCACAGTCATGTACTCCTACAAAGCCCGATTCAGATATCTACCCGTTCATTTTCCTCAAAATCCCTGATCACTTTACCTTGTGTGTATTGGTGGGAAACTTAATCATTTACATATAGGAGGTCCCCCTTCAATTCACTGTTGGTGACATCTCATTCATAAAAATTGGATAATGCATTAGAGGGATCCAAATATCAGAAAACCAATTTGCATTAAACAGTAAGCATACCGTGTATCTCGTTCCGGGCTTTTTTTTTTTTTGGTTTCACCAAGGATACAGAATGATCCTTTCAGTAGTCTCAACGATGCCAGTTTGGCACCACCAGTAATCCCACTCTGCCACCTTGCCTTCTGCCCTGCAAAACAAAGAAGTTTCTTTCTTTCTTTGCTGAGATTATATCAGTGTTATGTCCACAACAATTGACACTTTGGCAAGACAATCCAGGAAAGGGGTGACAGCAAGGAAGACTGTAAAACATAATTTAAATTATGTGGACTACAACTTTTAATGACCAAATATCCTGGTATCACTTGATCGCCTTAAAAGGAGTTAAAAACAGCCTTTCATTTTGATATTCAGGGCCTCTGGATCTCAGATTCAATGTGACATTTCGTAAGTTCCCCCTTGTCTTAATTTGCCACTGGACCAATGTGATTGTGGCTCTGCATATTCTTTGGTCATCCTTGTCAAGATTCCAACTTCTTTTTTGCTCAAGAAGCTGTTAAGTTGTGTCTTTTTTGTCTAAAAGTTAAGTGCTCTTTTGTTAGTATAGTTTTTTACCCCTTTCTTTCTAACTTCTTTTCCTGAATGAGCACAGTACTATACAAATCCACATATACAATTTAAAACTTCAAAGCAAACTAGTAATACATTTCTTAGGGGCTGCTATAATGCAGAGGGGGAGGGGGTTTAGAGCATCTTCCAACACACCAAGAGAGATACTCTGATGAATCTCTAAGTCTAACAAGTTGGCTAGTGCATAAACTACAGGACCAATAAAGGATAGGGGAAACTGATTCCTATGAAACACTAGGGATAAAGCAACCCATATAGAGAGCTGGTTGCTAATTTATAATACATGATTAGAGCAGTTCACATCCCAATCCTACACAATATACGCAAGTGGAGTCAATGTGCTGACAGACTTGCTGATCTTGGTGACCAAACAGATGGAGAGTTTTTGTGGAACCTGAGACACCCCTTAGACAAATTGGGTCTTTAATAAGAGCTGATTTGGCTTATGTACCTTTGCTAAGAGACTTGGGTCGACTCTAGTTGATATTTTCTCAGTTGGCCAGCAGAGTGAGTAGCACTTCAAACTATTACTCTTCTTTATTAACGCTAAGCATGATATTGTCGCACTAGCAATTTGATTTGTTTATAGAATTTTTACTAGCTTTTGACCATGCACCCTAGAAAAACTACTGCAGGTTTTGTAACAAAGGAGATTTTCCATCATTTTGTTTAGTCATTGAAAGACAAATATGGTTTTGTTGGAACTTTTCGAAATACTATCTTCTACGAGTAAAGAATGTATGCGATTTCTGTTTCCAAGAGTGAGATAAAGTACTTCCATGAAACCTATCACCTATCTTTGGTTTCTTCTAATATCTGGCCATCTCAATATATTTCGTACATAAGCTACTGATTCAATCTTTAAGATTTGAACTAACAGGTGGCTCATCCCATATGGAGCACTCTGTTCATTAATTTTTCATAGTGCCGGAGATTTGATGCATACATGTTCAAGGTTTGCAAGTGATTTCATGCAGACATAAAACTAAAGAAGGAAAATATAAATTCCCTTCGTCATGATGTGGCTTCTTTTGCTCCATTCTTTCGCACAATCATCATTGATAAAAAAAACAAAAAAGAGAAAGTATGCATGACATTCTTCCAATTTCGAAATAGAATGATAGAATTCCTTTTATAAACTACAACTTCAACATGTCGAGCGGACCATGCGTGTTGATTGTGGTGTCCACTGCATTTTAGACGTGAAAGTAACTAGTATTGATGATGCACAAATTAGTTTGTACACCACTAGTCAAGTTGTAGTATAAAATGCAATAAGTAGAAGAAAAGAGAAGACAGGATTTATAGTGGTTCGGTCAATGTGACCTACGTCCACTTTGAATGACAAAGGTTGCCGAAATTTAATTATCTCTTGTGTGAAAAGAGAGCAGAATGTTACAAGATTTGAGAGAGGAGGAGAGATTTATGCTCAAATGAGTGAGATGCGCCCCAAGTGTTAGAGGGGCTTACATTTTATAGCAACTTGGTGTAGTAATTGAATTGCTAGTCTGACGGTCATTATGGCTTAGGATCGTTTTATAGTAATTAGGGTGACATATCATCTTTTCAACGAGCGAGGTGTGACGGATGGTGTGCTCTCTAAAAGACTTGATCAAGGATGAAAGAGGTTGATTGAGGTTCCTGGATGCTCCCTTGGTGATGAGGGTGAGGCTACTTCAAGGTGGTAGAGGAGACTCTTAGATGACCGTGCACGTTCTCCAGCTAATGTAGCTCCTTGATTATGATAATGTTATTCCGGTGTAGACTCCTTTAGGCTTGACTAGCTGGATCTCTTGGAATTGGGCTTTTAGCTCGGACCAGGCTTATAACAAGGGTGGGGCCCTTGGACCTGGCCTATCATTTGCCCCTCAATGCCCTGCATTCAAGGAACTTAGAAAGGAGGACATTAGGTTGAGTTTAAATTTTTGGTCTAACGACAAAATTGGAAAAACTTCGGGAGGCTAAAACATATACTTTCAAGCCTTTTTTGGGCTTTTTTCATCATCGTTCACTCCCTTTGGTAGTGATTTTTGTGGAGCTCTTCGAGAGCTTCAATTTGACATATTATGGGCCCCGTTTGGAGTTACGGATCAAAAGTTACAATCAAAATAGCGTACACACCCTTTTAAATCCGATTTTTTTTTTTTAGGAAACCCTAGGTTATAAATAAAATCCTCTCATTCATTCTATTCATTCTTGAGAGATGAGGTTCTTTTGTGAGGTTTTTGGAGACCTAAGTTTTGGGATTCTTGAGTTTGAATACTGAGTTCTTCGATCAATGGTGACTGGAGAGGTGGAGATGCAATCATCCATTATCATTGAAGAAGAAACAGGCAGTGGCCGAGCAGACCATACCGAAACTGTTGTGCCAACAAGCACTTCTCGGGCTTTCATGGGTCAAGAAGATATTGTTGGGGTGAACCAAGGAGGTAAGGCGTCTAAGAGGCATGATGGGCGAGGGAGCCATTTGGGCGAGCTGACCAATCTATTGAATCGCTGTCCAGCGTGGTGGGGGTGAGCAGAGGGGACTTGGGCGAGCAGATCAAGGAGAGGAGAGTTGTGCAGTCGCCCATAGGCGCTGATCTGGACAATCTGGGTGAGCTGTCTGGGTGCGCGAACTGCTTGGGCGAGCTGCCTGGGCGCACGAACAGCAGGATTGGCGCCTCCGATGCACGGGACCAACTGGGCGAATCATTCCAATTGGACAAACAGACTGTTTTGGGCGCTAATGGTGGTGTAGGCGAGCGAAAAGGTGGGCAAGGGTGAACAAGCTTGGTGACGCAGCCTAGGCGCTCTAGCCTACTGGGCGAGCAGCCTAAGCGCTCCAGTCCGCTGAGCAAGCCTGAGGGGGTATCGCAAGCTGTCTTAGGGGCCACTTTAGGCACTGTTTTGAGCAACAATTTGAGCTCCAAACTAGGCACTAAAGAGCAAGCCTTCCACGAGCAGGAGGACTCCTCTTTAGACGCTTGTTTGGGAAGCTTGTTTGGTGAGGAAACAACTTCGGGTGAGCAAGGGACTAAGAAGCAGCTTGCAATGGACATTTTTGGTGGTGGGAGTCTAGCTCCTCCAAATGTAACTTCTCAAAATCAAATTCCTCGAGACCTTTCTGGCAGCGGCTCGAGGAGAGCTTTAAGCCCTCGCGCCAAGAAGCATCGAGGCAAGGTAATCCTCGATGACGATGGGTCCAAAGTAAGTACTATCTCTAGCACTTTAAATTCAGATGATGATATTTTACAGATTGTTTCCACCTATCACATTCCTCCAACTGTGTTGTGCCGTCGAGCCGAGATGGGTGACCCTGCATCTGACGATTCTTTTGGTGACATTGTCATTTATGAGGAGATGCTGAAGGCTGGGCTTAGGTTCCCCATGTCTCATTCTATTTGTAGCATTCTCGAGTACTTTTCCCTCTCCCCGGGGTGAATGTC